TGGAAGGACAACGCAAGTATGCAACTCCTCCATTGACAGTACAATAAATATTGTGCAGAAAAACATTTCCAACATGTTATAAATAATTCTTATATATATATATACTTTTATATTACATGCGTATATGATTTACCACGCTACCTGACTGAACAGCATATACGACGCTATACAGTGCCGGAAGTTACGGCCAAACATGGAATAGGTAATCAGCAGGTTCACTGCCAGTACTTGAAGAAAAGATTCAGTGGTTCATTCTCTCATTTTCTTCTCCGCGCGTACGTGTACTGCCTCAAAAGAACTGTGGCAATATATTTATCATTACATCCATCCTCCTCTACCCTCCTCCTCCATAGAAGAGAGGCAGGTTGACAGTAATCCTCAGTCTTCATGAGTGTCATACCTCTACTATGCGCCAGTGCCGAATCATATAATGGCATTCTTGTGAACAACAGAGAGAATTTTGCTGGATCGCATTTTTCTAATGTGCCTAAAACTATACAATCTGATGCACCTCAGGAAATTGCTAATCTGATCAACACTGAAAGAAGAACACTGTCATGTGTCCTTTGCTGCCTCAATGAAAAGTCGCTTCTCGTACCATGACGAGTGCTGGTGATGGTTTTTGACTGTAGCAGAATGGGCGCTGACCAATTAAATGGCCGAATAGCATTTAATCTAGCGTCTAAAGGACGAACATATCAACCTGTTATTTACGACAGACCGTTCCGGTATTCTTTCTGCCACCAAACAACTGATGAAATTGATGAAAGTTGTTTCTGATCATCAGGGAACTGCGTCATCTCAGAATTGTACACGTGCTTCCGTAGCTATGTTTCCGGTTTGCCCTGCTGCCACTCCTCACCAGGTCCCTCAGGCCGCTTGCAGAGCAGAGGTGATTGATTGCAAATGAGGTACCCAACAGATAAAGTGAACGGATACATTTTTGTCAGTTTGTATTACCCTTTTATCTCCTTCTACCCTTGGTAAGTTCTGACTTGTGGTTACAGAATTGTGCTTCAATTTAGATTAAGTTCATTGTTTTAATAGAACGTCATGATATATTTTTCAGCAGAGAAAAAATAAAAAAGTGGGTTTAGCGCGATGGATGAACTACAGGTTGTACAGTAAGTAATTTAGACAACCAACAAATATCAGCTTCCACGCTGCCTGGGGTTTGTCGATTGCTACAACGCTTTTAACTCAGTCTATGTTCATTTTTTACTTAATTTCATGAGGAGCAAACAATTGATAAAAAATGCAAAGACCTCTTAGCAATAATTTTCAAGCACTTATCTGCTGAGGTGTAACTTCATGAAAGCACAAGCAAGTTCAAAATCAAAATGTGCATCAGAGCAGGTGATGCTATATCGCCGAATCTGTTCCCTACAACACTAGAAAAAACCTTTAAAAAACTTCTTTGGAACAGCCAACTGCTGAAGATAAATGCACAATAGTTAGGCCTTATCCAAATATGGTTTGCGAAAATTATGCTGATCCTCTCAACGTCACTAAAACTACTCCAAAAAAGGATCCAAGAGTTAAACGACGCAGCATCGAAGCAGGATTGAAAATGAACCTGAAGAACATTGGACCATGTTTGGCAAATACACGACTTGTTGAGTTCAATGTACTCAAACTCGAGGATCGGCAAAACTACGTCTATGTCTGCAAAAAGAATTAAGACCGCGACATCGACAGAAGCGTAAAAATGGTATGGATACTTTTGGAAGACTGAAATTGCACCTCCCTTTGAATCTGCCCCAAGAATGTGTATGCTCCCAATGTCAATGTATGGATGCGAAACAAGGATCCTGAGTTTGAAGGACCACACAGGAACAGCAAGAAAAGATGGATGGACGTATGAATGGCCAAAAACACAAACAGGAGTTATGAAGTCAAGAAGTTGAAGTGACAGTGGTCAAGGCAAGAACTGACAATCGCTACACCAGACAGGCATCAGTCTGGGTTGTAAGGGAGTGTAAACAGCCAGTGGTAAGACATCGAAATGTGTGAGAGGATGAGCCGAAAAAGCTCATTGCTTCAAGACGGATAAGGTTTGCAGATAAGCCCGTGGCAAAACCTTGGAAAGACCTTCATCCAGAAGTGGAGAGTGGACGAAAAACGGTTGATGATGAGTCATGCGAGGGGAAATCGCGAAAGATCGCATGAACGGTTGTTCAAGTTAATATATTAATGGATTGGTTACATTGTGGACGGAGGAAATGGAGCCATCTTTGACTGATACAAACGCGACATGGCATATTGTAAAAATCAGACTCTCGCAGGTTCAGTGTTCAGATGTTTAAGGCTCGATTTGCTTCGGATGGGATGACGATGACATCATAACGATAACCAGGGGTATGACTGAACAGTTTGACTGGCAGAATAATATTTTCGTATGTCAATATTTGAATCGGTTTCTCAACGTGGAGGTAAGCAGCTTAAAGTTTCAAAACGCCGGGGTCAAAATTCTCGATAGCTCGCCGACTTGTGGCCACCACTTGAAAACTAACATTGGACGGAATGCGAGCTTTGCACTTCGCATATCATTGTGAATTCTGAGAACGGTTTGCAGTTTGCACGAACAAAACCCGGTTATTCCGACTAGTCTTCTGCATGCGATTTGTGGGGACAGCGAAACCTTACGCAAACAAGAAACCTGCCTCAGGGCTGAACTTTCTTACCTCATCGCACCACATTTCCTTCGAACTGCAGCAACGACCGAACGCTGTCCCTCAATTTTCCCTCAGTTTCTCACAAGTGGTTCAGGAGGTGTGACTTTATCATGAACACATGGACGAGTCTGTTGGTCATTGCAGCACTAGTACCTCCTTGCAGCTGTTCACCCGGAGGTATGAAACGAAACGATTTGTTTGAATTGTAAATTTTTCACCGGTGATCTCTTTTCTCATAGGCTCGATTGGCACCAGACAAAAAAGGGCTTTCATCGGATATTGCTCAAACGGACTCGAAGCTGTTGCCGGGTGTTTTCTGGATAATACATGCGGAGGACAGTTTCAATGTGATCTCTCCACTGGTCTCTGCTGCCTACGCACTACCTCTCCTTTTCTCTACTCTACTCCGATGACCCCGTTTACTCAGGTTTATGATCTGCTATGCAAAGACGGCAACCCGGCGTATTCTCAGTGCGACCTCGGGGGAACATGTCCTCAGGACTACATTTGTACTCAAGACTTCAAATGTTGCAAATCAGGCACAGGCGCAAGTACGTACTCACTTCAGTCTATGACTTGTGTGTTATATTTATGCCCATGACTTTTTAAAGGCTGCAATTTCAATTTTTTCCCAACCCGTCCTTGCATGAATCAAAGATGTTTTCCGGGCGAGTACTGCTCCGCTGATGGTTACTGCTGTCCAGTGGAAGATGGTAATTACGTATTTTACAATTACTATACATGACATAATATAACTCATTATTTACCTATTGTCTTAGCGGAGAAAAATCCATATAAATTTGTTCTTGTTCCCTCGCAATTTACTGTATGACTTCAGTATATCACCTGTATAAAACTAGTGATGGTAATCTCAGAGATGATCCTGGTATGGGTATAACCGACTGTTAAGTCCGGCTGATACCGTTTATTCATAAACATTGCATATGCTAACATTTTGACTAATCAATAGTAACGAAATCAGCCTTCAGATATCTTCTTCATCTTCCATCGCCGCTTCTCCTTTCGGGTCGCG